GATCGAGACAAGGCTAGACCCACAGCATCATGGTTACTCCTGCCTTTAAGAAGCCCTGTGCTTTTCACTCCCTTTACCTGTGGGGAAGAATAGATTCCAGGGTCCCTAGCTGTCCTTCCCTAAGGATGAAGTTTTCAACCTCTAAATCTGACTGCTGAATGATTCTTCCTGAGCTGGCCTCAATACAGCCACCTTGAGGGAGTCTGCTCAAGGGAGCTCTGATACCTGCTGAAATAAATGCTTGTATTAAAGACAATTACCGATAACATGGCCCCAACCTCTGACCCAGCTTTTCCTCCCCTCCTTGCTCCACATTCACCAGAGGCTGGGTGAATGGCAGTCACAATACGTTCTGTTCTGTAGACCTACAGCAAAAGTAGGTGGACATTGCTTACGTATCCTATCAAGGCTATTCTGAAGAACAGGGAGAAGGAATGCTGACTGGACAGGAAGGAAACAGAGAGGGTGAGAGAAAGAATAGCAGGAAGGAGAAAGGAAAGTGATAATGTGTTGCTGAAGACAAGCACCGTTGTCAGTTAAGTTCCCAGCCTCTGCTCCGGCAATCTCTTAAGAATGACAGGCATTTAAAAACCCAGAAGCTTGCAAACTGACAAGGTGAGCAGACACCACCTGAAGGGATTCCTCCAATGGAAATGGGTGCAGTTTTACTAACCTTCTATACTTGGGGTCCACATGGGGCCAGAGACTCCTCTGGTGCTGGACAGGGACTGCCACATGGCCAGCCGTTCATCTGGGAAGGTAAGGGACCCGCAAGGGCACAGGACAAAGTTATCCAGCTGGGGGCTGGCATCAATACTGCTCGTTACTTCCCTGGGCTGCAGGACAGCAGAGTTAAAGCAGGTTCCTGGTTCCAGCATAGCCTCAGCGCAAAAAGCTACAGGTTGTTCACTGTTGTGAGTGGTCAACAAAGCCTTGCCCATCCTCGCTTCATACAGCTCACCGCTCTGCATAAAGCTGTAATAATGGAGAGAATAAATCAGCCAGACATACTGCTTTGCAAAGAGGGGAGACCCCGCGGCCAAACCTTTGAATCCTGCCCTTGACAGCTGGGAGATTAACTGCTAGATGCTCTGACTACCTGATGCTGGGCATGGACCGTTCCCATCTATGGAGTCACGACTCCTAAGCAATATCCCTTGAGAACTGATGTGAAAGTCAGTTCCATGAACAAGTTTAAATGTTGCTTCATCTCTGAACTGTCACTGTAAAGACTTATTCATACATCACCTGGATTCCAGCATCTTTAAGTAAGTTCCTTCAGGAGGCTTATCCAGATCTGCAGCTGACTGCTCCCACCCTGGGTCACAGGGCATGAGGGTTATCTCCATTTGCTCAGAGCCGATGCCTACACAAGATCCACCTGAAAGGTGCAGGCCGGGCAGGTGAAAGAACACTAATAATTACTCCAAAAAGCAATGAAACAAGTCTAATTTGCAAAATTCAGCAAGACCCTCTTATTCCCCGTGACTGAAGTTTGGTCAAGATTCCGTGAAGGGGCATGGAAATACTGGGTTTTACTGGAGTGCTGTCCTGATCTCAGAATCTGAGAGCTAAAACCTGCTGCCTCCCATGTATTTGCTTTCATTTGGTACCCATTCTGGAGATGGGCATCTCTTTTCACCTGCCCTTGCTCCTGCGGAGTGACAGCCTCTAGCCAAACAATGAGGCACTCCACTGAAGTAGAGTCCTCCAATGTCCACTTAATCAGTATATAGATGCTGTTCTGAAGAACGATATCCTTCCCTTCCCGAGGGAATTGAAAATTGTTTTTCAGCTTTCTGGACCACATTCTAAGCCCATTAGGAAGAGACAAACCTGCAGTTTGTGGAGTGTAGGATCCTTTATCCTGCTGTTCCTTTGTGGGGTAAGTCAAAGCCCTCTCGGGACATGAGTTGTTGAGTTTTTCGGTATGGGGGAGGCAGGATTTTTGACGTCGTCGATAATTTGCAAACCAATTATAGACCTGAGTTGGCTGCAGGTTCACATCCCGAGCCAATCCCTCCTGCAAATCCAGATATAGGGAGATAAAGGGAAAAAAGAATAAATGACATCCAAATAATTAGGCTTTTCCCTTCAGTTCCAAAAGCAGCCCAGCAAAAGAGCTTTCAAACCCAGAGACATTTGTTCACTAGGTCTCTGATAAGTCTATGCCGATCCCCCATTGAGGAGACACATTTATAAACTCAGAAGAGTTGCTGGAGAGCACAGATTCCACCCTGCTCCCCTAGTCAATTTGTTTGCTAAAGGAAACCTTATACTGCTATTTTATATTGCTATATTTAATGTAAAACCTCTCCAAAGCATGCTCTTCCCACAGAATGACAGCTTCACATCACTAACATGACACTAGTAGGATAAACAGTAATGCATTTACCACATTAAATAGTTTTCATAAACTGTGAGCAGTATAAACATCTGTATCACCCTCACAGAAAAATTTCTGCTGTATTAAACTGTTAAATAATGAGATCAGATAAGTGAGGAACATATTGGGAAATTAATGCATAAGCGATCATTGTATCCTGACCTTTTAGGACTTAATTATGTTCCCAATTCAGGCTGGTTTTTAAAATGAAAATTTGGATGTTGTTGTGGCTTTGTGAAAAGGGTAAGAAATAAACCGTCTTCACATTGCAGAACTATTCACCAGGCCATCCTGCCTCATATGAGAAAGGGGTTGGAAAAATTGAGCACCCCAGAGGCAGACTTTAAAGTCTGAAGCCTTCACCTTGCAAAGTAGTAATCAACAAGGATTACTGAGTTAATTCACATCACTTTCATTACAGATTTGTCCCTGTCCAAATAAGGTAGATACATGCATACATCAACACAGCCTATCAGGTTTTCAAATTCTGTGAATTTAATGTGGGAAGTCAGTACAAAATACATTCTGGTAAGCAAAGTGCAATTTTCTACAGGCTGTAACCCAGCCAAGTCAGAACTATTTGTCACTGTAATACCACTCTTCTAACTGACGGCTGTTTCGCTGCCTAGGCCCAATCACTGCAAAATTAGAACTGTTAAAAGCCCAGTGAGGAACTTATTTCCCCTGACCTTTCTGTTCAAAGCAAGTGAAA